TCGATTTGAGTGATCGGTATTCAATTAAGATGAGTGGATGAGACTTGAAAGATTCTTAAAAAAAATATTCCTGTGATTAATTTGGCATTTTTGCATCTGCACAGACGTTTTAACGTCGCATTCAGGTCGTCCCGTAGGAGAAATTGGATAACTTGGTTGCGCACGAAGAAAAACAGGGCACCAGTCAGATTTTCTGACTGCCGTGCCACGGCAAACTCTGTCGTGTCACGGTGCACAGTACCGTGACACGGGAATTTTTGCCGTGTCACGGCAGTCCTAAAATCAGTCTGGTGGCTTATTTTCTCTTCGCACAGTCAAATTCCTTCGATTTTTCTGAAAAAAATGTATGTGTTCTACATGCGTCTTAGCCCCGGGGAATTTAAGCTCTATCGACCCAAAAACGCTCATGGAAATAAGGGTTCATCCGAGTTATTAAATCCACCCAAACCAAGGAGTTGAGTTCGATTTCATCATGAACTTGCGGAGCCGCCCGTTGGCATACACCCTCAAGGGAGGCTGCCTTGCTAACGCGTCCAAACTCTTAACCATGGTACCCTTTTGACACCCAAAGCTTGACCAATAGTTGAACAAATATTCAAAAGCAAAGTTGCACACCTTGGGGGCCTATCTAGAGTCTTGAGCCTTTATCCCTTTCTTCTATCACCTTTAGCCTAACCACGTTACAACCTTTAATAAGACCTTTTTGAGGTATACATACTTATGCGAGGTTCGGCTAGAGCTACGTTCGGCCTGATTCCTAACGGATACGTAGGCAACCTCAAATCAAGGTGCGGCCGTAATAAACATGCATTCATATTCACATTCACATACCATGATCATATCAAGGGATCTCCTATGCTCATCCCTATTTATTTAGAGCTAGACTTGGGGGCTTGATCCCTACATCATTAGCTTACCTAGCCTAAAAGTCACCACCATTTGACTCTTTTCAATATATTTTCCCACACACTTAGCCCTTGTGGCCTAACTTTAGAATCACTATCACACACCACACAAATACATGACCAAATATACTTTCCCTTAAGAACCCTTTGTCATGGAATCTTAACACAACGCTGAAGCATGCCTTGTCATATCAACATCACTTATCAATCATAATCATCATTGCATTTCGATGTGTGAAGTGCTTAGCCTCCGCGCCTAAGTTTCCTAAATACTTTCATTATCGAGTCAACTAGGATAGTCTAAGATGTTACAATCCTTGTACTGTGAGAAACAACATTTGACTAAGCTCATTTAACATGCACCTTCAAAAACTTCGCTTCTTTCTATTTTCGCGTCTTTCTTTTTCGGGAAAAAGTCGGTACCCTCCACAAAAATGACGGAAAATTTTTGCTTTTTTGAGTCAACACTATGCACACACGGGTCATGAGTCACACGTGTCATTTCACTTCGAGTCGAGTCAACCTCGAGTCAATCACAGCAAGTCAAGTTTATACCTTGAGTCGTGTCAAGTCGATGAGTCAAGCGACGTTAAACCTTAGGTCAACCCTAAGATAATTGAAGAGATTGGCAAAGTTCTATAGTAAAAAATATATACAGGTGCAGCAGAATAGGGAAGACCCTACTCCAGCGCCAGACGACAACATCTAACGTATGGAAATAGATTTCAGCGCTTGGCGCTAGATCCCAGCGTCTGACGACAGAGCCAATTCTTGGCGCCAGAGATATTTCAGCAGCAACAGAGCTCGAAGCCTCTCAGAAAGGTGATTTCGACCTCATACGACAATTTCGGGTTCCTTGGTGCGCCAGTTAGCCCTTATAAGAAATTTGACATGATTAAGTAGTCGGTTTGATTACAATATAAGTGATCGACCTGATGAAAGATCGTCTCACTTAGCTTAAAGCGCCTAAGCGTTGGCTTATCACATACTAGCATAGCGGAAGCAAAGTTCAAGCGAGCTTTAGAGATCGGCAAGCGTTGGTCTTCGGAAATTTTCTTCGGAATATTATCGCAACAAACATTCAATCATTCAAGCTCTTTTGCTCTAGAGACGCGTGGGCATATCATCAAAGCTCTTTTGTTCAGAGACGCGTGGACATGTATTTCAAGCTCTTTTGTTCAGAGACGCGTGGACATATCATCAAAGCTCCTTTATTCAGAGACGCGTGAACATTTCCATCAAAGCTCTTTTGTTCAGAGACGCGTGAACATTTCCATCAAGCTCTTTTGCTCTAGAGACGCGTGGGCATCCTATTATCAAGCTCTTTTTTCAGAGACGCATGGACACATCATTCAGAAGTTCATATTAAAATAATAATAAAGAAGCTCTTTTGCTCTAGAGACACGTGGACATAATAGAAAAAGAAGCTCTTTGTTCAGAGGCGCGTGAACATATCATAAAAGAAGCTCTTTGTTCAGAGACGAGTGAACATCGAAACAGCAGGATGGCGTTCCCTAGATTGTGGAAAGTTATCAAAAAAGCAACTGAGGATTGTTTCAAACGAAGCAATCTTCGATGGTATTCCCTTGGACGTGGAATATTATCAAAGCGGAAGAGGATCGTTTCAAGCGAAGCAATCTTCAATATTGGAAGCAGTTACAAGCGTAGCGGTTTTCAAGCGGGATGGCATTCTTTTGGAAGAAGGTCATTAAAACAGAAAAAGTAGCAACAAATCGGTTAGTTTCAGAGACGTATGCTCGACGGTGCAAGATACGTGTTTCTTAACTCTATTATCTGTTTAACTAACGCTAGTTTTGCAGGTATCGGCATTACAAGAGTGGTTTAGGATCGCAAAATGTTTTGAATCATTCTTCGTCCCTATCGATACTTTGACTTTTGTTTTCGAAACATGCATTTCTCCAAACTCAGTCAAAATGTGGGATTCTGTAGACACCCATTTGTGTCTCCCCAAAACCAAACCCAGTGATGAGTACCTTTCGCGTCGAATCATAATCGAATGAAGTGAAAGTGTGGAAAGTCTAGTGTTGCGGATAATTTTAATTTCTTTTCTCTTCTCTCTTATCTGAAAACTTATTTTAAGAAAACTGCCAATCCTGTTTGGTTGGTCCATGATATGGGTCCGATAGTAGTGCAGTTGGATGGGGCTTGACAAGAGCTTTCCAACGATATATTATAAGCCCAATTCCGATGAATATTGAGGAAGCTGTGGCCAATTTACTGAACTGGGCCCGGTTTGAGCCTTATATGCGACCCAATGATCTAGGGGAGGGCCTAGTATAGATTTATCATTCCTAATGCAATTAGGAATGGTTTTAGTTTTCTAGATTCTTCTAGAAGGTTTTTTTCGTTCCTAATTCTACTAGCATTGATAAATTGACTTTTGTTGACTTTTCAGAGTTTTAATTAAAATCCAAGAGCATTTTTGAGGAAAAATACGATTTTATCTTCCTGTACGGCAATTTTTACCTGATTTTAAGAAAACGCGTAAATTTCCAGATCAGCGCCAAACGCCAGCTGTAGCGCCTGGCGCTAATGTTGGTGCCTGGCGCCAATAGCCAGCGTTTGGCGCCAACCTCGTTTTATGTGCGCCAGAACTCTGTTTTGATATTTTATATTTTTGGTTGATTTTCTCTATAAATAACGTGCTAAAAACTCCGTTTTCGATAACCAGTTTTCATCAATTCTTATTCAACAACTCTCATCAAGATTCTCTTGATTACTTAGTCTATCTCTTTTCTAAACTAGCTTCTCTCAAATATAAAAATTCCACATTCATTAGATCTTAGATACACCTAGCCATATTCGAAGTTGCCTTCGCCCTAGACGTGAAAGGTTTAATTTCTGAGGGTTTGGTCCCAAATCTCTCTTTCAATTATTTAATTTAATTGTTCATTATTTTCCTTAAAGTTACTAACGTGTGTATTTTGTTATTAGAAATAGGTACGAGGCATCAAAGTAAGTACTTTAATGGTTTTTATTTATGTTATGATGTAGAGTTCATGCTTAGATTGTTATTATGATTCCTAGTATCATGTGTAGGGTAACTTTAATATCAAATATGATCGTTATGATGCCTTTTATGTTCTTCCTAATATTTATGATTGTTAGTATCATGTTAGGGCTAAATATATGATTTTTATTGTTAGTGACATGCTAGGGTTTGTTATCAATCTTGTTAGTATCATGCCTAGGATCTTGCTATTATTATGCTTTAACATGATTCATGATTATTTTTATTATGATTATGATTATAATTATAATTTATTATTATGTTGCTTGATATATATTTTTTATTGTTATTGCTTGATCACGCTTTTATGCTTGTTTAAAGAGAATTTGTACTTGTAATCACGCTTAATAAGATAATTATTAATCTTGTTTAGGGTTAATATGATTATAATTCAAGTGATCGCCAATAATAGATTTATTTGTGCATTAATATTCAACCAATATAGATAAACAGGTTTAGGGTTAATCCTATTGGTTGCATGTTAGTCAGAAAGCGTACATGAATACGATCTGAATAAAGTAGAGGCCTATTATTAGGGCAGGTTCAATCTCTTTTAGGTTGGATTTGTACCTTCATCCCCGAACCCCTATTTGGTTCAAGACCTTATGGAGTTGACGATCTCTTGGATCGTTAAGGGGTGTAACCTTCACCTCGTGGACGGTTTACAAGTTCCTAAAAAAACTTGTTGGCGACTCTTTTGCTCTATCTTCTTTCCCTTTAGACGCCACCGTACTTTAGTGTATGATCACAGTGGGGTTCAAGCTAGGGGGTTAACGCTTGAAATATTCCCTACAATAGCTATAACTGTTGAAATTGGAGGTGTTGCGGTTGTGCTGTGGTGGTGTGATTCTTGGGTGTTTTTTTTTTAAACAAACATGTTAAAAAGAATGGGTTTCATTCCATTCTCTTTGATTACCTTTCTTCATTCCATTTCGATTTCCTCGGACGAACCAAACGGCCCCTTAGAATCTAAAGCGCTCTTATTTTATTTTATTTTATTTATTTATTTTTTAAATAACTCTTGTTTTTGTTTATTTTTTTTTTAAACCTTGTTTTTGTTTATGACATGAAAAAAATACGTACAGTAATTAACACAATTTCTATTATCTTTAAAAAAAACCTGCAAAAAAAGTAGTCTCTCTTTTAACGCACCAAGAAGCTTTGTTCGTGCTTCTCTCTCTTCCTCTCCTCATTTCCTGGTTGGATCCCTTCGTCGATTAATCAATTGTTACTTTGCCACTTCAATTCCCCTCTCAATTTTTGATAAGGTACGAGTTTATTGCAATTTCTTCATTTCGCCAAAATTTTAGGGTTTTGTCATTCAATTCAGTTTAGATCTGAGGAATTTTGTTTGTAGAATTAATTGCTAAGGCTCCAACTTTGGCTCGTTTGATTGTGTATTTTTGGTGAATATGATTGGAATTTCCATGTGAAAAATTGGGGATTTTTGGGGGTTCAGGTGATGGTGATGATTTGTAATTGAGATGGAGGGAAGAAATCGTAGTGGGCGTCATTCGGGTGGTGTGGTGAAGAATAGGAGCTCCTCAGGTTGTTTGATTATTAAGAAAAAGACTGATGGGGTTAGTGGGGTGGGATCTTCGAAAAGCCGAAAGCTCCATGAATCAAAGAAAGAGAAGAAGAGACCTAGGTTGAATGTTAGTGAGCCAGAGTCGAGTGATGAAGAGTTTTCGGAATTCTATACGAGGCGAGGGGTGAGTGGGGTGAATCAAGTTAGTGGTGGTGGTTCACTTATGTATGATGATAACGATTTCGATGAGGAGACGGGTTTTGGAAGTAATGGGTTGATGAGGGGGGTAGGGCCGAAACGAAGTAAACTTGATGTTTATGACTTTGATGAGTATGATGATTTGAGTGATGTTGAAATGATGAGGATGAGGCATTATTATGACCGAGGAATTGGGGGTGAGGAGAGAAGGTTTATGGGCGCGATGCCAGGGATGAATAATAGTAGTGGGTTGGATTTTGATAGTGGGTCGAGTAAGGGTGATATTATTTATAAAAGAAGGAATTCATTCCATGGGGGTTCTAGTAGTGATAAGATTAGTGTGGGTGATGTATATTCTGGTAAGAGAGGGTTTGAAATGAGAAATGAGCTTCCTGTTTCATTGGGGAAAGAGAAACTTGGTGGGTCTGATGAAGCTATTAGACTACAGGGCAAGAACGGCGTGCTTAAAGTGAGGGTCAAGCATAAGGAGGAGATTAGTGAACAATTTTCACAAAAGTATACACATGTCAAAGGAAATAATGTAGCTCTTAGGTCTCAAGAACTAGCTGCAAAGAACATTGCCATCCGTGCTTCACCATATTTAGAAAAAAATCTGTCTAAAAAGTCAATTACAGCAAATATGCTGGACAAAAATCAACAGAGAAAGCGGAAACCAGCCGAGAGCAGTGAGGAGAGTGATGAAGAAGCCAAGGATAGTGACTCTTCTCCGAAGCTGCAAACTGAAAGTATGCAAGTTAAGCAGTCCATGAAAAGAGGGAGGAGTGGAGGAAGTATGCAGTCACCTCAAAGTGCTCAGCCAATCAAGCTGAAGGAAGGGAAAGTCAAGCGTGGCAGTGGCACAGAGAAGCAGTTGTTACGTGAGAAAATACGGAACATGCTTCTCACTGCAGGCTGGACAATAGATTATAGACCTAGGCGGGGAAGAGACTACTTTGATGCGGTTTATGTTAACCCTACTGGTACAGCGTACTGGTCAATCATAAAAGCTTATGACGCACTACAAAAGCAACTCGAGGAAGAAGGGAGCAGCATGAAAGCTAGTGATGACTGCTCTTCGTTTGCTCCAATATCGGAGAATGTATTGAGTAAACTGACGAGGCAAACCCGAAAGAAGATTGAGAAGGAGTTGAAAAGGAAGAAAAGAGAGGAAGCAGGGAGTAAAGTTAAGAAAGAATTCACCAGTGGTAGCTTCGATGAAGATGAGTCAGATACTGACAGTGGAGGCAGTGGCAGACGAGACGACAAGTTGAGTTCATTTATGAAACGCAGTGGCAAATCCTTGAAAGGTGCATCGAAGGAATCCTATAGGGGTAAAAGCAATTCAAATAGTAAGATGCATGACAGGGGTGAAAAATTCATTCATGCAAGGAAAAGTAAAAAGATTGGCAGGTGTACGTTGCTAGTTCGTAATTCTGGGAAGGGGGTGAATTCTGTCAGTGATGGCTTCATTCCATACACTGGAAAACGTAATTTGTTGTCCTGGTTGATTGATTCGGGAACTGTGAATCTGAGTGAGAAGGTGCATTACATGAACCGTAGATGCACACGTGTCATGCTTGAGGGTTGGATCACAAGAGAAGGAATTCATTGTGGCTGTTGTAGTAAAATTCTTACTGTTTCTAAGTTTGAGATTCATGCAGCAAGCAAGCTTCGCCAGCCATACCAAAACATATATTTAAGCACTGGGGCTTCACTGATGCAGTGCCAGGTTGACGCATGGAACAGACAGGAGGAGTCTCTACGTAATGGCTATAATAAGATTGATGTTAATGGGGATGACCCTAATGATGACACCTGTGCCATTTGTTGTGATGGTGGGAATTTGATTTGTTGTGACAGCTGTCCATCAACATTTCATCAGAATTGCTTAGGCATCGAGGTGAGCTACTGCATTGCTTAATGTTTAAATTTATTCAGGATAAGATTTTAACTTATTGAAGCATTGTCATTAGGCTTCTATGTAATATCTATTGTGTTACCTCTCCAAACTGGTGTTAAAACTGCATGATAAGCTATGCTTAAGTGAAAAGAATTTAAGACAGTTAAATTTGAAGGTGATTTTTTAAAATATATCTTGTGCCCAACATTACTTTGTGCTCTAATGGCTTCTGTAGACCAAGTTTTACAACTAATTGTTCAGAGGCTATGATGAGATGAAGAAAACAAATCAGGAATTGAGGTGGCGGCAGGGGTTTGAAACTTGGTCACTTTGCACCCTTCATTTATATTGGATAATTTTTGTTAATTAATTACAGTAATTTATTTAAATATTATTATTTTCTGGGAGAGAAAGGGTGAGGGCGGGTTAATTTTGAGGGGTTGGACTGTTGGAGCTTTATTAGATCTTCATGGATTGATAAATTCTGTTTAATTAAGGACTTCCTTTGCTTCCTGAGCCATATGCATTTCTTTCTTATCTAAGCATATGGTTACTTAGTTGCTATGTATAAAAAGGCTCAAGGCACTAAGGCGTTTCGGAGTACCTTGTGCCTAAGTGAGGTGCATATAGTAAGCAATAAAAAAATTCTGAAAAAAAACTCTTTGTGCGCCTCAGGGGTGCGCCTAGGCGCGCCTTAGCTGTACCTCATCGAAGTCACCTCGCCTAGACCATAAAAAGCGCATGACCTCTAATGCCTTGCACCTAGGTGCGCTTTTTCAAACACTGCTTAGTTGCATTGTTAAATTTTATTTATTAATTTATATTTCTAGACAATGGTGGGTAGATCACATAAGCAGCTCATCTCTTATGAGAATGCACTTTCTTGTAGAAGCTTCCCCCTGGTGATTGGCACTGCCCACATTGTTCCTGCAAATTCTGTGGCCTTGCAGACATGAGTTTCAGTAAAGAAAATGACAACAGACAGGATGCAGTGCTCACTTGCAGTTTATGTGAGGGGAAATGTAAGTTTCCTTTTCTCATGTTTCCCTATTAGTGATATCAAGTATTCGTCCTATGAGATTCTGGTTCCTGACCAGCTGTTCATATTTTGTTTATGCCTTTTTAATATAACTATTTATATTCTCTAGATCATTGCTCTTGTGCGGAGGACTTCGATGATACTTCTAATTACTTGAACCGCCCTCCTTTCTGTGGGAAGACATGTCAAGAGGTATCCGTTTTCTATTTTTAAAATTTATTTAATGCCGTCTTTTTGTGCCATGTATGTCTTTTCACACAATTTTCTCTTTCTTAACAAATTGACTAGCCTTTTGGCCCGTCTGATCTATGTGTTATTACTTAGGTTAGTTTTATGTATAGGTATGTTTTTCAATAGTTGGAACTATTGATATAAAATACAAAGTAAATGTTTCATAACCATTGAGGTGAAACTTAAAAGGATAACAGTGAAACTGTGGAAGAAGACGAAGGAATTTAGTTAGGTATATATGCTTGAATATGTGGGATATGAAATGACATACTTTAAGTTATATTTTAAGTTTATGAGATGAAAAAACTATTTTTTATTATACTTTATATGCTTATGTAATGTATGTCAATTAATTCATCTTTATTTTATTATGTAGAAATAAAATGCTTCATTTTCTTATTTAAATTTGCAATTTACATTAGGACTTTAACATTATATAATAATTTTATTTTTATATTAAAAAGGGAATATAAAAAAAAGGAAAGATTAAGGGAGGTGACATGTGGCATGTGAGTGACTTGTGATGACATGTGGCATATGAGTGACTTATGATGACATGTGGCATATGAATGATTTGGTTTATGTTTTTAAATACTAAGTATAGATTCATTTATTTATATCCAAGAGAATTTTAAGATGTGTTGACTTGAAGTTAGAAAGAGGTGCCTTATTTTGGTTTGTTGACGGATGATATTTATTTTGTGCCTTCTTCTCTTATCATGATTTTGCATCATGAACAAACAATTTTCCCTTTATTTAAAATCATAATTATTTACATATTCATTACTTCCTATGTTTTTTTAATACTTGCAACGCTTCTCTTTCACCCTTGCTGATGTGTAACTTCAATAATTAATGTCTTTAATTATCAATATGCAAAAGTTATACACATTATATATTAAAATAATACTAATAAAGACAAATCTAACAAGATCCTACAAACTGAAGCAAATGAATAGTGTAAAAGTCAAACTATTGCAAATATAAGTAATAAGTCGGTTAATCAATCAATCAAAGCCTTGATCTCATAAATAGGGTTAGCTACATGAACCAAAAGTGATTATTCTATATAGTCATCCACATTTTTTTTTCCTCCATCCTTTAAAATTAAATGCCTCGTTCTCATGCAAATCAATGTACTCTATATCCTTCCTAACTCCTTCCAACAAAGTCATTTTCGGTCTTCCTCTCCTTCGTTTAACCCCTCCATGGTCCCACTCTTCCACTCTTCGTATCGGTATACCCTCGGGTCTTTGTCTTACATGCCCAAACCAACATAGGCGATTTTCCCTTAGTTTGTCTGCAATGTCTGCCACACTCACTTTCTTGTGTTTAACCTCATTTCCGATTCTATCATAGTGTTCCCACACATCCATCTTAACATGTGTTTCCGTAACATTCATCTTTTTAATGTGCTCCCTAGAAGTCCAACATTCTATACCATAGAACATCGGTCCTTATAGAATTTCCCCTTTAACTGTAAAGGATTGCTTCGGTCACATAATACTTTCGTGTCCGCTCTCCATTTAAGCTACCCCGACTTAATCCAGTGAGCTACGTCTTGATTATTGTCACCATTTTTGTAGATGGTTGACCCAATATATTTAAAACATTCAGTCATGGTCAAGTCCTTTCCGTCCAAGCTCACTACATCGTCACTTGTCCCCCTCTGTGTACCCAACATATTTAAAATATTCAGTCTTGCAAGTATAAGTAACGGAGAAATTTTTCTATGAGAATTTTAAAGATTGAGATTTTGGAGCTTATTTATTTTGAGCCTGCTCTATTCACGATTTGATGTCATGTATTCCTTGATAACATGTGGTCTAAATGAGGATAGCATCCTATTTTCTTAATAGTGTGTGAGAAACTATATACATTTGCTGCAGAATTAAGAATACTGTTTGAGAATATGCACAATGTGTCTTTTATATTTGGGGTATATTTTGCTTACTTACAGACCTGTTGAGATAAAGGCTTAAGGAAATTAGTCTTGCTTTCCTTCCCTATGAGTACATAAGTTCCAAACATTTAATATTTGGTTTGCTTTATCAAAAGCATTATGTTTTCATCATTTCAGATATTGTAACTGGTTGTTAAGTTTTTAACTTATTTCTGGGTCTTTGTCAATTGGACAGCTCTCTGAGCACTTTCAAAAGCTTCTTGGGGTCAAACATGAATTGGAAGCTGGATTGTTTTGGTCTCTTATTCATCGGACAGATCTAGATTCTGACACCTCTGTTCGAGGCTATCCACAGAGGGTGGAATGGAATTCGAAGTTGGCTGTTGCTCTTAATGTTATGGATGAATGTTTTTTGCCAATAGTTGACAGGAGAAGTGGGATTAATATGATTCACAGTGTTCTCTACAACAGTGGGTAAGAACAAAGAGTCATTGTATTTTCATTTTTGCATTTCCCTCTAAGTCATATGCCTTTTTGCTATAAAGATCCCAAGGCTAATCTCCATGTCTACTCTCTTAAGTTGTCTTGTAATGATGTATGCTAAAAGAAGTGTATCCTTTCTTCAAATTAAAGCCCTGATTGATTTTATTTTGCGATCTCCTACTCACAATTCTGATAGTCAATATCTTTCATTACTTATTACTCCTTCCCAAATTAGTTGCAACTCTTTTAGGCATTAAAGTTAGCTTGTTGACACATAAAATTGTTACTGGGAAAAAAAAATTGTTACTGAGAATTGTATCATTACTTCTTTAGGATGTCCCAAAGTAAGTGAGAAATAATAATATGTGATAGGTCATAGTAGGTAAATTAATCTGAGAGGAACAAAAAAAAAAAAAAAGATTTGGTCTCTTTCTTTAAAATGAATTGTATTAAATAATTGAACAATTCTTTTTGGAAAGTGTGCAACCATTTTTGGGACAAAGGGAGTATAATATTTGACATCTTGAGAAGGCATTTGGAGATGTAGGAATCAAATGGTTGACAAGATTCTTCAAAATGATTTTGGGAAATAAAAAGATGACATTGGAGTGGTGGAAACGTACCCTAATCCATTTGTATATGAATGAAGGTGGCATATGTGACAAGTGCCAACTATTAGGAGTCAAGATAATGAGTCGCATTAAAAAAGTAAAAAAACTATGGGATCAAGGGATTAAGGCTTTGATTAATTGATTGATTTATACTTTGGTTAGTTTCTTTAGCATCTCTTTACTTTTCTTGTTTAACTTTTCGCGGATGGTTCCTTGTGATGATTCATTTAGTTTATGGGCCTAAGGATTTGTTGTTGAAGAAAACCATCAAACCTAATCTACAAGATGCTAGAGATAGTTTGGTGCTCACAACCCAGACACCTTGAGGTTGGGAGGATGATAAGGCAATCCCACCCTTATTCTTCCCCTAGTGTGGGATTTGGGTTCAAGAGGAGATGAAAAGATATGGTCAAAGTTTTTTTAACTTCAACCATAGCAAACATGATTTGTATTTGTTGGCAGAGAAAATTATAGTTTTACATTAAGTTCGAAGTTGATCCATGTCTTCTGTAGAATCCGGGTTCATGTATTGCCCTTCTCTGCATAATATTGTGCATGCTAGGATTTTTCTGTTGGATTTGCTTCTGGAAGAGCACGTGTATTTGTTGATTGATCATTGGTCAAAGAAACATAATAGAAAAATGAGCCTTTTGAGGGCTTTCATTGTGTAATATGTTCATGCTTTGTATCATGGACAGTTCTATGAATATATATGGTGACATTTTCATTAAACTCACTAGATTGCTTTCTTACCATCTATTGTCTTTAAGATTAGGAAGAGACCCAACCAATTGACAGAAGTGTAGGATATTTAATTCCCCTTTTCCAGTGAGGTGGGTCGGAGCTCGACTGATTAAGTGACAGCAATGGTGTGTGGAATTGCAAATGTATCCTTGTCTCCCATCTACTCTGCAATCTGTTTTCAGGTTTACTGTCTGCACTTTGCACCTGGCTTTCTGAGGCAGTGAAACTTTTGGATCAATTTCTGATCTAAGCCTGTGTAGTAACATGGAAATTTGTCGTCTTTCTTTGATGGATCTGTTGTGATACATTGGTACAGACTACAGAGTACAATCTACAATAGCGTGTATTTTTGTATTTGAGCTTCAGTTATATTTGTCAGAAATCGTGTAATATACTAGCAAGTTGTCAAAATCGGAGTACCGAGGCTAACTGCTTTTTCCATACTGCAGGTCAAATATCACTAGACTTGATTACAGTGGCTTTTACACTGCTATTCTGGAGAAGGGTGATGAGATTATAGCTGCAGCTTCTATCAGGTATAGTGCTGCAAAAAATTTCATGGTGGTAATTGTTTATTGTTTGCTATAAGTGGTTCTGGATGGTAAGTGAATATCCTTGTATTTAATGTAATAGCCATAATGCTCATCGTGGTATAACTCTGCCTTTTTTTGTTTTTTTTTTCTTACCCCCGTTTTCCGTTTTCTGAATTGCTTATTTGAGTTACAAGTTCTACATGTGTTCTCATCACCAGTCACCTGTCTATTAGCTGAGCCCTAGTGCCCTACATAGGCTATTAGCTGAGCTGCCCTTGTAGTTTGTAGGCTCTGCAAGCTTGACCCTCTCATATTATCCCTACTTGTGAGTTGAAATGGGTAAAGGACTGAGCTTCTTTGATCATTCTATTTTCTTATGCTTTGGATTCTTTCATATTGCTCCGCTTCATTATAATAAATTTGTAACATCTCCTCTTTGTAAGAGCTTTCAAGTTTGCAAATTGAGACAAATTAAATATGGTATAAATAAAAATCTGAGCTCCCTGACTTTGGCTAAGTTTGAAAATTCTTGGATGGTAATCGATTTGGGGTCTGTTAACATGAATTGTCACAAGGAACCGTCCAAACAAGGAACAATTACATAACAGATATCGATTGAATAAAAGTTTGAAAAAAAAGGTGTGTAAAGTGAGAACCAGAAAGAGTATACAAATAAAATTTGATAGAGTTTTAAAGTGTGGTAAGGGAATGAGAAGAGAACCATGTGAGTAAACATGAAGGTTTGAGAGAACTTTAGCAAAGTAAGTAAAGTTTGCAAGAACACGACTTGATCGAATTATAAAATGTTAAAATCGTCAACTATCAAGAATCTGACTCGTTGATGCTCGTATATTTAGAGACCTCATTATTACCATTTAATCATCAAGCCTTATCCGCCTGTTGTGTAGGCCAATGCAGAGTTTGACTGTGATTAGCTTCTGTATGCTAATGTCGTAATTTTGTCTGCTTTCTCATCTGGATTACTTCCAATACTAAATTTTATATTTATTTCTGCCTGAGATTACATTTATGGGCTTTCTTTCTCAGGTTACGGAGTACACAGTTTGCTGAGATGCCATTCATTGGAACTCGTCACATTTATAGGCGTCAAGGGATGTGCCGTCGACTTTTCTCAGCCATTGAGTCGGTATGGCTGCAACTTTCCTGCTCTATGGTATTCTTAAAATTTCATGTTTTATGTGGAAAATCCTGCAATTTCCTTCCAAAGGGTATAGAACAATAAGGTCGGCAAGCATTACATTAATGTTCATGGAATAGTTCCGTCTTTGCCGGTGAGATTTGTACTTATTTTAGTTTTTACCTGAGTGATTCCATATAGTTTCAGCCTTAGTACATGCAGCAAGGTAACCTTATTGAGTTTGAGCAAGGATTTATAAAATGCAGAGCCATGATAATTCTTTATCATCTAGTTACTGTCAATGAATGGAATTGATATCTGAGGTGTGCTCGCTTATTGTTGAACTTGGAATCTCTACAAATTGACCTTTGAGCAAATGCCTGGTTACTTCAGCTTCTGAGATTTTATTGTTTGTTGATACACTCCCATATGACTATCCTGATTGCAAGATGAATTGAAATTTTTGATGTAGTACATGCTATGTACAGTTGTAATGATGAGGTTTTTTCTTCCATGTCCCAGGCTCTCCGCTCACTTAAAGTTGAGAAACTGCTAATTCCTGCTATCTCCAAGTTGATGGATACCTGGACTACTGTTTTTGGTTTCAGTACTCTTGAGGAATCAGATAAGCAAATCATGAAAACCGGAAACATGTTGGTGTTTCCAGGAACTGATATGCTCCAAAAGAAGCTATTGGATCAAGGCATCAGTAATAGAGGCTTAGCAGGTAAACAATGGTTTGAAAAAGTATTTGAATAGTCTTGTACCCTGCTTCATCGAGTTTAAATAAATTATGCATTATTTTGTAGTGGCAGGAGCACATTCATTTGAAAATGATCAGAATGCCTTAGTCATGCCTGGTTTAGGAAAGAAATCCGATCTTCACTCCCCTCCCGAGCTTTGCACGGCTGCTGCAGAACCAGAGAAAGAAGAGATGAAAAACATACCTGTTACTGATTTTGGTTATCTTGATGCCATTTGCACAGATGATAAGTCGATGCATAGTGCTCTTGCAGAATGCTGTGGCAAAGTAAATCCTTTGCCTACTGAAAATGAGGAGATAAAAGAAATTTCTGTTACTACTAGCTCAGAACTGCAGCTGGATACCAAGCTCAACGAGTCTGCCGGTGATTTGATGGATCACATTTCTGCTGGTGCAACTGTAGAGGCTGCTACCCCATGTGATTCCAATGACAATAAGCCTTCATTGCATACTGCTTCTGCAGCTGTTTTCAATGAAGCTGAGCCACTAGTTTCAAATGAAGGAATCCTAGAAACTACATGCTCTGAACAGCTGCTGGACACAAAGCTCAATGAGTCCATTGGTGATGTGAACGATCAGATTTCTGCAGATGCAAGTGCAGCAACTGCCGCCCCACATGATTCCTGTAAGCCTTACCTAGAAATTGATTCTGCAGCTGTGCCTGTGTCAAGTGAAGTTAAGCCACTAGTTTCAGATGAAGAAATTTTGGGGTCTACAGCCACTGGAAAGCAGTTGGTTAACAAACTCTATGAGTCTGCTGGTGATGTGAAAGATCACATTTTTGTAGATGCAAGTGAGGAAAGTTTTTTGGATGATTCATCTGTAAGCCATTATGTGGGGGTATCTGCTGACTGTAAATTGACACAGGGAGCTAACTTAGGTGTTGCCAAATCAGGGTCACCTACTGCAAATGGTAAATTAGCTGTTACTTCTGATAAAGATCTGTTAAATGAGTTTCAAAGGAGTGATAACGAATACCAGAGGGATGAGGTTTTATTTTCCGAAACTGAATCTGTTGTTCATGGGAAAGATCACTCTTTATCAGAAGAACCTCATGTTGATGTTTTAATGGATAAACCTATGATAGAACCAACAGCTGAACATATTATTCATCATCCTCCAGATGTTCAAACAAATGACTTTCATGTAGTCCCAGAGGAAAATGATGTTTGTTTTGGTTCACAGTCCTTGCATGTGTCCGACAATACTGATCTAGATGCAGCTCATGAACCCAAGATCAATGTTTCTGGTAACACAGCTGCTTATGAGAATGCTCACTCTTTTTCAGAAGCATCTCATGTTGATGTTGTAATGGAAAAACCAATGATAGAGCCTATAGCTGAAGATAATATATTCCATCATCCAGAATTTCAAGCAAATGATGCTCATATAGTCCCAGCTAAAGCTGATGGTTTTCCTGACTCAAAATCCTTGCATGTTTCCAATAATAATGATTTAGATGCAGCTCATGAACCAAAAATCCATGTTTTTGGAAATTGTGCTGATAATGGAAAAGATATCTCTTCATCAGAAGCATCTCATCTTGATGTTGTAATGGAAAAACCTATGTTAGAACCTCCTGACGATAATGTTTCTCATCGTCCAGAAGTTGAAGTGGATGATGCTCTCCCAGCTGAAATTGATGTTTGTTCTGGTTCACAATCCTTAAATGTATCTGACAATATCAATCATGATCCAGTGCATGAGCCTAAGATCCTTTTTTCTACAAATGTTATGGAATGTAGTCAGACCATAGAAGCAATGCCTGTTGATGACAGGGCATGCAAATCTCCACGGTATGCAGGTCTCAGTACCAGTCCAATAGAGAAGCCTGGGATTGCTGAGCAGCCAACTTTAGAAGGTGAGGTGCAGCATGTGGAAGTTGTTAATGTCCAACCAATGAGTAGATTTTCTTGTGAAGTTTCTGTCAATGCTGCTGATGCAAACACAAATAATAGTGAGGATCCTCCTCTTGTTTCAGATGATGGCAGCATTGTAGTTACGGGCTTGTTGTGTGTCTCTGAGCTCCATGATCAAGGTATAATGTAAATTAGACATCAGATAACAGTAGAGACAGGAGTCGCCTGTGCTAGAACAGCATTGAGGTAAGCTTGACATACCGTAGATTGGGCACATGTTGATGCTTAGTTTGCTCCATGTGAACTGTGGAGGAAGTTTGGTAAAAGTTCTGGAATCTGATGACTTTCCATCATTTTCAACGTGGTTGGAATGTTTCAACTGGTCATGAATTCGTTAGTCCACTTGGTTTGGTTGCAATATTCTAAACCACTTGGCTGTGCCGCTGAACAACTCAATGTGGCTATGATTTTTCTACATAGAGGGTTCTGTATTCTGGCCCTTAATTAATCAGAGGTTGATCCTGAAAGGTGAGATAGCTAGTCTATATGAGTGCTACAAAATTTTGGAGATGGAGCTTCAGCACTGAATTTTGTCCGTGAACCCAATGTAATGTTGTGTTGATGTGTATAAATTGGCGTATAGATCAAGGGCAGGCTTTATTATATACTCATTATCATGTGTAATTTATGCCGGTTCATCGCATGATAGCAGTAGCTGCTGTTATTCGTAATGTTAAATTTGATTATGAATTATCATCAATTGATGAAGTTAACCGGTAACATGATGTACCAATTTTCTGAATTTTTCAGATCATTGGTTCCCAATAGTATGATATGTAATTTGTTGAATATATACAACCCAAATAACCAAAAAAAAACAAGTAAACAACAAACCCAAAAAAACACAACAAAGTTAATAAATTACCTCCAAACTTGTGATTATTCCTAATTACAAAAGTTCGAATTCATCTAAGACGATTGCCTACCCTTGTACTTTGAGATTACAACTTGTGATACGTTGAAATTCAAGACTTATACAGGTTTGCTTCTAGTCAATACCATGATACTAATCTTATTCAACAACTGAATCTTAGGATAGTTACTGAGATGGAGTTCCGAAGTTCCCCACTTCTAAGCCATTACCTGAAGAGACAATTCACAAGAACAAAGTTATAAACCACTACTGTAGTAACAAAATCTAACTTCAGATAATAAGCCTTGGCAAGAGAATCAAAAACCTACCATCTGGGTCAAAGAAAAATACTTGCTTTGTCTTTCCATCAGGTTGAGTTTTTTCAAAAGTCTCAATTCCCTTCTCCTGTATATCAACAAAAACATTATAATCTCATTAATTCGACGTCAACAACAGTTGAACTGTGTCCTAAATTACAGGTTTAATTTTCTCTGAACACAGGAATTAACAAATTTTTGTTACATTGTCATCAATTCATCCATCTAAATAGCTAATACTACTACAGGGTGAGTTCTATAATAACTAACAAGGAGTACATTTTAGTAAACCCAAGACTATTTCATCTACGGGTTTATAGTGTATATACACTCGAGTGTATAACAAAAATCAAGTAACCCAAGCATTATTCTCCATTTAGGGAAAAGGCAGTTGAAATTAACAATTCCTCAGCTGTTAACAAAAATAAATAGTCATAAAATACCAGATTAATCAAAAGTTGAAATTGATTAATTACCTTGAGAGATTGAACAAATTCATCGAAATTGGAAACAGCGAAGGAAACATGATGACCTCTAGGAAGGTTCTTAGGATCCTTAACAGAAGAATCGGTACTGTACGGACCTTCTGGAAGTTTCGTAGAAGGATTCCTCTGAATGAGATGGAGAGAAAAAGAAGGGGGTAGCTTCATCCATATAACCTCAAATTCACCGTATTTAGGACTATCTATCTGCTCAAATCCAAGTACCTGCCACAAAATAATTTAATTCGATAAATCATACTCCGTAATATACTACTTCCTCAGTCTCAAATTCGAAAAAGCACAATTAGAACAAATACACAACTAAATCCGGACCGAGGTAGTATAATGTTGAAATGAGAAAAGAACCTGTTGGTAGAAAGTGGCAAGGCGTTTGATATCAGCGGATTCTCTGGCTATGTGGTTAAGGCATACTCCTTTGGCAAGCGCCATCTTTCGTCAGAATTCTTGCTGCTGATCGGTGCCTTAAATGAATTAGTTTTCTACTTGAAACCCTTTTTTTTTTTTTTTTTTTTTTTTTTTTTTTTTTTTGAAGGAGTTCTACTTGAAACTTGGCTTACAACACATAAGGAATATGTCTTTTGTATGATTTCGGGAATGATCTCGTGCCAGAGATTCCTTATTTCCTCCTCATAATACGATTAGGGACAAGGAAAGTAGGGAGTCGCCAACAAGTTTTTAAAGAACATGTAAATCGTTTATGGATCGTAATAGGCAACCATGAATAAAGGGACAACGATAGACAACAACGATTGACCCGTGACGGTTACACCCCACTCATAATCTATGAGATTACTAACTCCATATGATTCGAAACCATGAAAGGAGGATCTGGGATGATGGTACGAAGTGAGTCATGGAGTTACATTCGCCCGTATTAGCATTTACTCGATTCTTATAGTGAAAAGTGATTCTTGCGATTTCAAAGGCATACAAACAAAGATTCAATTTGCTACAAACTATTATTATGCTAAATTGGTTGAGTATTAATGCAACACATACTTTTTAAATATTCTGATTACTTGATTTAATAACAAGATAAAAAAAGAAACAAAACCGATCGTCCAAATCATCTTATTAGTCGTGATTTTCAATTACATATTTCCTTTAAACATGCAATATGTTTATCAACAACAATAATAATAATAATAGAATCAACATTATTATTGGAAGCAATTCAACAATAACTTGTTAGTCAAATCAAATAATAATAATAAACCTAATCATGATACTAGCAACAAGAATAAAAATAAGAGTAATTAAGTGATTATTACTCACTTTCCGCATTTCCTTGAATTGCTACATCATGAATAAACTGTTAGTAAGTTTAATAAAAATATAAATCAAGTGGAAATTAAATTAAATAAATGTAGAGTTGATTCGGTCCAAACCTTCAGTTAATTATACCTTTCACGCTTTCATTTAAGTACAGAAGTTCGGGTATTGTATGGACCCCTTGGAGTGCTTAAGGAAGGAATGAAGGAAGAATAGGGAGGCTAGTGTTTAAGCTAAAGAGGGAGAAGATAATGATTTTGTATAGAGAGAGAGAATGACTTTTGGTGCCCCGAATTGTATAAAGGAGGGGGGTATTTATAGGAAAAATAAGTACAGTGAACCCTAAAAAGATAAAACTCGAGTTTTAGGGCACCGTGACACGACAGAGGTTGATGTGACATGTTACAGATTGTCGTGTCACAGTGCACTATTTTGCTCAAAAATGATATACCACGTGCAGTTGTGTACGTGGAGAAAAAACACAGAAAATTCCCGTGTCACGGCATGTGTGTTGTGACACGGCAAAGAATACGGTGACGCAGTGTACTATTTTTCCAAAAGAAACACGGAAAATACATGGGAAAGCACCGTGTCACTGCAAAGAATGTCGCGAAGCGACAATGTCCACCGTGGCGCGACACGTGGCGCCGCGTCACGGTGTACTGGCTTTCCAGATTTGCGTCCAAATTCATAAATGAGTGAGAAAACTTGAAAAGTACAAGGAAAAAGCACCGTGACACGGTGAAAAATACCGTGTCCTGGCAATATGCACCATGCCACGTAAGCTTTTGTCGTGACACGACATTTTAGCTGTTGCGTAGTAATTTCAGTTTTTTTACGCATTTTTAAAATTATGATAAACTTTTGATCTGTAACTCGGAATAAGACGTATAATATATCATTAGAAAGCTTATCAAGTCTAATTTTCAATGAAATTAGAATTTGGTCAAAATAATTTGTAGATTTTTAGATATGACCGTTTTAGTGAAAGGGTCTCGGTTTTGGGCCGAGTTTAGTATTTTGCTCATATCTTCTTCGTTTTAAATCGGTTTTGTGATGTGAACACGAAAAGTGAAAAATAAGTTATGTTTAGGGAAATGAGCTAGGAATTGGAAATATGGATTTAAGCACTCCAAATATTAAGTACTCCACCCGACCAATAATGGCGGTTAAAGGTTGTTCATCATTGGGTTTGATTTTGGGAGACATTTTAAGGTTTCTACAAAAATGTAGCCTAGTTTCGCTGGACTTGTTGGTAGTTTTTGAGATCGGGGTGGCTGGGCTGGCAGTTATGGGGGTCAGGGTTAAGTTAGTTGGGGTTTTAGACGGTTGGACAACGAGTTTCGGTGGTTATGAGGGTGCGGCCGACCAATTTCCGTCGTGTTTAGGGTTTTGCGGTTGGGTTGGGGGTGGTTTCGATGGATTTCGACGAGTTTTGGGGATGGGGTGGCGGTTTATGGGGTTAGGGCTAGGTTAGGTGGGGTTGTGGAAGGTCGGCCAGCCAGTTAAGGTGGTTTCGGTGGTCAGGGGTTGGCTGGGAGGTGGTTTCAGTGGTCGGGAGTTTGCTAGGAGGTGGTTTCGGTGGTCGAGAGTTGGCTGGGGAGGTGGTTTCGGTGGTCGGGAGTTGGCTGGGAGGTGGTTTTGGTGGTCGGGGGTTGGCTGAGAGGTGGTTTCGGTGGTCGAGGGTTGGCTGAGAGGTGGTTTTGATGGTCGAGGAAAGGTGGCTGGGAATTTTTTTAATTTGATTATTTAAATGTTTTTGTTTTTGAATTTTTTTTTGCACCAATCACATGTTGACACGTGGCTTTTTAAAAAAGAAAAAAAAACTTTTTCAGCAGGTTACCAGTCACTAGGACTATTATTGGCAAACATATCCCATAGTTAGGATTATTAGACATTAAACCTTAGTTGAGATTATTAAAACTAAAGTGCCTACATATAGTTGAGATTATTAAAGTGTATTTTTCCTAAAAATTTAACCAACCAATCTAGATAATTTTAAGCAAAATTTGTCAAATAATACCTTTTATAACCCTTTTATTGTTAAAAAAACACCTTATGATTTTATTTTATTTTATTTTTGTTAAAACACACTTAAAACCAGAATTTTTTTTTGTAAAACAAACCTTCCCCGGTTTTTACACCATTGACTCGTGACGTGAGGGCACATTCTCATAATACCCCATTTCACTCTCCTCAAGCCACTACAACCATAAAGCCTAGCCACCCTAGCCACTGACACCACCGCCTAGACGACACTAGAACCACCTCTCAACCGTGGATACCACCACCAATCAACATAGCCACCATTAGTCCATTACCGCCCACCCAAATAACAGAAAAACCACACGAAAAATCACATCTATATTTCTCTCTCCTCCTTTTTCACTCTCTCCCTCTTAAGATCTTCAATTTTTTGCAACTTTTCCTTAGATCTAACAATGGAGCAAGAATCCTTAACAAAAACCCACATTAAATCCACCACAAATTACTAACTTTAATCTTGTTCCTGATGGTTAAGGTTGGTCACTATTTGTCGTGGATCGTTGCGCTGACATTGGAAGAGCTAAGGATGGCGTGGTTGTTATGGATGAAGAAAGGGAGGAGGGTTTTTTTGGATAGGTTTAGAGTGATTTGGGTGGGCTCTGGGCGATAATGGTCGCTAGGTTGATGAGTGGTGGTATCTGCGACTAAGAGGTGGTTCTAGTGGCGGCAAGGCGGCGGTGTTGGCGGCTAGGGTTTGCTAGGATGTGGTTGTGGTGGCTGTGAGGAGAG